AGTTTACAGTCAAGTTAGTGATGATTCAAGTTAACAAGCAATTTTAATATAATTATGTATATAATTATATATTCACATAATATATTTATATGCTATACTATATAAATATATTATAAATTATATGTTAATTATATAATAAAATATAACTGTATGCTGCATAGTTATAATTAATATGTATTATATATAATTTTATAATTAATTTTAAGATGGGTAGATAATGTGCTCTAGGAGCACAGAGCCTTCTCTGAAGGATGAGACGGAGATAGCCATGTAGTGAGAATGAGTCCAGGACAGTACTCCAGGCAAAGGGAATGGAATTTTCAAAGTCAAAAGTGAGTGAGAGGGTGATCCATCACAGAAGTGTGGCTAGAAATAAGAAGGTAAGGAAGTGAGACAGGCCGGCTTAGCTCATGTAGAATTTTACAGCATATATTAGGGAGACTGGACTGTATCTAAAAGCCTGGGGTAGACTGGGAAGTGACATAGTAGGACACATAAATGCTAAGGTATAAGCTAATAAAAGAATGAGGATAAAGCTGCCATGTGCCTCTTTAAGGAGAGTTGAGAAGTTCTCTAAACTCTCTAAACCATCTCTGACCTGCGACATCAACAATGTACTTCTAAGAAGTCACTTCTTGGAGCTAAAAACCAAAGCACCCAATTTGAGCATGATTATCACAGAGTCCTGGGAATATTAGAAGCGGTTAATGTTCTAAGAGAGGGGGAAAAATCCAGAAAGTTTAAAAACTAAGGAAAAAGGTGTCAAAAATCCATCCTTTTATAAAAGTTTTCCTTATTGTATGCCTATAAGGAAAAAGACCGGACACAGGAAACCCAGAACTCAGGTGTTAACACTGTATGTCAAGTGGCCACATCCCTGAAATATAAAGCTACTTATTCAGAATAAAGGTCATTAGCCTCTAGATCAGGTTCATGGGGGAAGTTTCTGAAATTTCCTGCTGGCAATGATTCTCCAAAAAGCTTGCCAATAAGAACTGTCTGCCAGGTTTTAAAAAATATGGATCTTGGGTCCCATCCCAGGCTAAGTGAACCAGAACCTCTAAGAACACTGCTTTGTATTTTTACAAAGTTCCCCATCATTCTCACTTGAAGCCATAGTTGAATTATTATTTGTTTGCTTTTTAAAATTGATCAGCTTTTTGTGCAATATAACTGACATATAACAGATCGCACAAATTTAAAGCATATAACTTGAAATATTTTCACTTATCACTGACATCACATATCAAACATAATTGCACAGCTGGAGAACTACCACCATATTTAAGAAAATGAATGAATTTGTATCCATCATCCCAGAAAGTTTCTTCATGTTGCTTGATAGACCCTCCCTCTTGTCACTGATTTTTAGCCATTTGATTATGCTATATCTTGGTGTAGATTTTGGTGCTTGCTTGGCATTTGTTGAGATTCTTGAATCCCTGAGTTTACAGTTTTCATCAAATTTGGAAAATTTCTGGCCATTATTTCTTCAAAGATTTTTTTCTGTCCATTCTTTCTTTTTCAGCTCTTTGGGAACTCAAACTATATCAGACCAGCTGAAATTGTCCCATGGCTCACTGAAACTTTTTTCATTAAAAAAATTCTTCTTTGGATATCTTATATTTCTGTCTTCAATTTCTCTGTTTTTCCTTCTGTCACTTCTAGTCTGCTAATAATACCATCCAGTGTATTTTTCATTTCAAACATGGTAGTATTCATGTCTAAAAGTTTGATTTGGATCTTTTATATACATATCACGAACTCTTTGAATATATGGAATACAGTCTGAATACAGTTATAATGCCCATTTCGATGACACTGTCTGCTCATTTAACATCTCTGTTAGTTCTGAATTGATATGTCTCTTCATCATAGGTTGTATTTTTATGTCTTTTCCCATATCTGTGATTTTTCATTGGATGAAAGATATTCCGATTTTTGCCTTATTGGGTGCTGGGTCTTTTAGTATTCCTATAAATGTTCTTCAGCTTTGTTCTTGCACACTGTTAAGTTGCCTGAAACTTTTAGGATTTGCCAGACAGATCTGGCATGGGGCTCAGTCTAGAGCTAATTTTGCCCCACTCCTGAGGCAGCAATGCCCTGGACTCAACTCAATGCCTCACGAATCATGAGATTTTTCAAGCCTGGCTGGTGGAAAGAGCCACTGTTCTTGGCCCGGTATGGGCATCTGCAATGTTTCCTTTAACCCTTTGCATGGCTCCTCCCTGGCTTTCCCTAGTTTCTTCACAGCCATGCCCTGATACTGCCGACTCTGCTGTACTGAGATCTGCAGACTACGTCGGGAGGCCCCATCAGGAACCCAGATCTCCGGGTGCCTCTTTTTGTGTCTCCCACCTGCTCACTCGGTCCTGTGAACTCCAGCTGCTTTGGTCCCTGGACTCTCAGCTCCATCTCTGCATCTCACAGTCCTCTGGGTTCTGCCTGAACTTCTCTCCTGACACCACTGCCTGGGGACTTGCTAAAGGTAGTAAGCTGGGGCGGTCACAGTGCTCCCCTCATTTGTTTCTAGTCACTGTCCTTTGTTGTCTGATGTCCAGTGTGCTATTCCAATGGCCATTACACGTGTGTAGAGATTCATGGAATTCCCTGGTGCTCAGACAGTAAAGAATCTGCCTGCAATGAAGGGTTTATCCCTGGGTATTAATGGTGACAATCTCACTATACAAGACTTCCTTGTTATTCAGTTTCTGCACAACCAAGAAAGTCTCTTTCTTCATACACTGAAATACAATACAGGCAAACCCCCAGATATGCTTAGTAACACGTTCTTCAGAAATATTAGTTCTTTTCATGCCCAATAATAGATGAATGAGGCAAACACCACATTCATTAGTTCTCTGCTTTCAGGAAAATAGGTGTCTCTGGTAACAAGGCCAGTCAGTGGATTAACAGAAGTGCAATTATAGTAAAACTCTATCTGTTCCTTTCCAAGAGGTGAGGGCAACAAATCAATAAATTTTTCTTTTTTGGCCATGCCATGTGGCATGTGGGCTCTTAGTTCCTCAACCAGGGATAGAACCCACACCCTGTGCATTAGATTCAGGGAGTTTTAACCATTGGACTGTAAGTCCCTCAATAGACATTTTGAATAGCTGTGCACAATTGTTTCTACAATGCCAGTTTCTATTATTACTCCCCATAAAGGTTGTTCAATCAACCAGTAATGGTCATCTAAAACAGTAAGTCCCAAAGTGAGATGCAAAGTGTAAAGATATTTCCTCAAAGCAAAACAAAACAAAAACATGATCTTGATGGGATAATAACTGAGGAAAGATGTTTACAAAACACTGTTCAGAGGCTTTCCCGGTGGCTCCATGGTAGAGAATCTGCCTGCCAATGCAGGAGACATGGGTTCAATCCCTGATCAGGGAGGATTCCACATGATGCAGAGCACCAGGGCTCATGCGCCACAGCTATTGAGCCTGTGCTCTGGAGCCTGGGAGCCGCAGCTGCTGAGTCCCCGTGCCACAACTACTGAAGACCAAGCCCTCTGAAGCCTGTGCTTGGCAACAAGAGAAGCCACCACAGGGAGACGCCCAAGCACTGCTGCTGGGCAGGAGCCCCCACTTTCTGCAACTAGAGGAAAGCTCACGCAGCAGTGAAGACCCAGCACAGTCAAAAATAAACGTCGCTGAAAACAAAAACACAGTGCAAAGAAAGTAAACTTATATAGGCTATACATTTTAATCTGTGTGCAAAAACGTAAAGTAGGTACCTGAAATTTAACTTCAAGAAATAGTTAAACCCATTTGCACAGATTTAGCTACAAGAATTTTCGTTGCAGAGTTGTTTCTAAAATGGAAGACAAAAAGAACTGAAACATCTAACCATAGTGGGTGGTTAAATCAATTACAGTGCATCCATTCAATGGATTGCTATGCAGTTGTTAGAAATGATTTTATTAAGGATTACTTGGTAATCTAGAAAAATGTTCATAATAAATAGTTATGAGAGAAAAAGCAGATGTGAGTTGTCAGGTAATGAGTGTTAGGGTTACTTGGCTGTTAGCACTGAAGTAAAGCGGAGTGAATCTCTTGAATCTGAATGGTATTTATTGCAATCAGGAGACTCAGTGGCCCTTCGAATATTTCTGGGCAGCAGGGAAGAGGGGGTGTTGTGGGATGTGTTTCTCTATCACTCAGGATCTGATTCTCTGTTTTTGCTAAAATTACAATTTGTTTTATATCTGCACTGATTATCCCTTTTCTGCCCACTGTTGTCCTATATTATCCATCACCACATTTCCTTTATGCCCCCATGTTCCACTCTGAAACTATGTGTGAAGCAGAGTTTACTAAAGATACAGGGTAAGGGATGGGGGAAGAACAGTGTTTTTAAAGGAACACCGAGCAAACCACGAAAATTGTTTATCAAAGTCTGTGTTCTTTGAAGTTCCTGACAAAGCTCTAGCTTCTTGCTCTGACCTCACCTGCTCAACAATCCAGGAGCTTGTGCTATCTCTCTCTGCCTCTCTCTTTATATATATAAATAAATATAAAATGATCCAAAACAATTTTATGTATACTATTACTATAAATTTTATATACATATAAATTTGAACATTTAAAGAAAAAGGTAGCTTTCCATTTTTCTTTTTTCTTTTCCAGCCCTTTCCTGAGAGCTTTCCATTTCATAAATGACCTGTCAAGATATTCTCCTAAACAAAGGTTTATCTAACCAAAGAAATCATGCTAAACTCCTTAGCAGGAAGAAGCCACTGGGGTCTATTTTGGTTTTAAACGGCTTAAGTGTTGGGTAGATAAAAACAATACATGTCTCTGCAAGGCCAGGTTAGGGATATACAACAAATGATTTTTAAATGTGTATTTTCTAATTTTATACAATGAAAACATAATGTTTAAACTATATGGTAAGAAAATAGCAAACAAAAATTATTTTAAAATTTAAATTAATTTAAAAAACAGGACAAGTATGTATTTCTTTATATGCAAATGTTAGGATGAAATAGAGCAGGGGCCTGGATAGTTCAGTTGGTAGAGCATCATACTTTCAATCTGCAAGTCTAGGGTTCAAGTCCCTATTCAGGCATGTTATCCTCTTTTTTATCTTTAGGGTTTCCCTTGTGGCTCAGACGGTAAAGAACCTTCTACTTTTAAAAAGCTGCAATTGGGATATAAAAATTTGAAACCCTACAACATGGGGAATATAGCCAATATTTTATGATAACTATAAATGGAGTATAACCTTTAAAGATTGTGAATCATTATGCTGTATGCCTGTAACTATAATATCATATAGCAACTATACTTTAAAAAGTGTTTGAAACCCTGGGAATTCACTTTAAACGTACTGAGAGTCCCATACATAGGAACTTCTCTATAGCTCAGATGGTAAAGAATCTGCCTGCAATGCAGTAGACCCAGGTTCAATCCCTGGGTCAGGAAGATCCCCTGGAGAAGGAAACGGCAATCCACTCCAGTATTCTTGCCTGGAGAATCCCATGGACAGAGGAGCCTGGTGGGCTACAGTCCATGGGGTCACAAAGAGTTGGACATGACTAAGCGACTAACACACATACATAGGAACCAATTTCATTGCATATCCACTTGAAATAAAGTTTTTTACTCAAACACTTCCCCTCTGTGCATTAAAGAAAAAATCAGAAGTCTTAGGAACTTGGGTTGTACAGATATAGTTGACTAACAACTCTGGGGACAAATGTTGTTCTTCATAATTTTTGGAGAATTTGGATACTTCCTCCTGTTGTCTCACATGGTGAGTCAGCAGGCACAACACTTCTGCGTGCATGAGGCCAAATACCACTAAATGTCAGAAGTCACTTAATTCAGAAATGTCACTTAATTCACCCCAGCATCAGCCTGCTCCTCAGAGAGCCAAGTGGGGACACTGGGGCCTCTCTCATTTGGCATATAGCTACAATGAAAGTCTAAGGTAAAACTCTACCTTCACAAATGCTCGTGGATGGTTTAAAAAATGATTGCTTTTTTTCATCAGTGTTTAAACATGTTCACTGTTAAACAAATATTTAGTTTTCAAGCAGAGTATTCAAATATAAGTACAGTGGTATAAAAGATAATTTACCCCTTTTAAAAGTGTGGATAAATAGTGAGGTCCTTAACATGCTGTCTAGTCCTACTGTTTAAAGACAGAGTCAGGGAAGGGACATCCTGGGACCCAGTAGTTTTAGCATCTCTGGTTGCTGGTTAGAGATGTAGAATCTTGAACCTCAGCACAGGCCCACTGAATCCAAATCTTCCCCTTCAGGAAATTCCCAGAGCTGATAGGAATATGAAGGCAAGAGGGTCATGGCTCCAGTGTTCAGCATTCTTCAGCCCAAGGCATGGCACACACACTGCCTTTGACCTTGCAATACAGATGTCACAACCTTAGGGTGAGCAGAACCTAGTGAAAGGACCACTTCATCCTGCACCTTAGTGAAAAGGCTGCACTGATTAACTCTATTCTAGAATTTACCAATCCAGTTTTCACCCTTCGCTATGATCCAAAGCATGAAAAAAAAAAAAAAAAAAATGTGTGGCAGGCTTTTCCAGTAGCTTAGGATGTGGAGAAATGTGCATGCATTCTGTCTCAGCTTAAAGATTTCCTTCAGTTCAGTTAAGTCACTCAGTTGTGTCCAACTCTTTGTGACCGCATGAACTGCAGCACACCAGGCCTCCCTGTCCATCACCAGCTCCCAGAGTTCACCCGAACTCATGTTAATGAGTCGGTGATGTCATCCAACCATCTCATCCTCTGTCATCCCCTTCTCCTACCCTCAATCTTTCCCAGCATCAGGGTCTTTTCAAATAGTCAGCTCTTCACATGAGGTGGCCAAAGTATTGGAGTTTCAGCTTCAACATCAGTCCTTCCAATGAACACCCAGGACTGATCTCCTTTAGGATGGACTGGTTGGATCTCCTTGCAGTCCAAGGGACTCTCAAGAGTCCTCTCCAACACCACAGTTCAAAAGCATCAATTCTTTGGTACTCAGCTTTCTTTATAGTCCAACTCTCAAATCCATACATGACTACTGGAAAAACCATAGCCTTGAGATGCTGCACAAAGTCTTATCCATTCCAGCTTTAAGGAAGGTGACATTTCTGAATTTCTGGATGAGTGGTTCTTAACTTCTGCCTGCAGGACAGTCACCTGGCTTCAGATACCAGCTGCTGGGCCTAACCCCAGAGTATCTAATTCCATAGGTCTGGGCTGGAACCAGAGCGTCTGCATTTCTAAGAGGTTTCCACGCAACGTGGATGCTGCTGGTCCCTGGACCACACACTGGATGTCACTCTCCTTTCCTCGAGCACTGATTTTTGCTTTCCCTCATTTGGCCCTTTAAAAAAATTGACTGGATAGGATATACTTACTGATAACTCTTGTTTTTCTCTCATTGTGGATGGTCTGTTTGTATCTTTTCCGAATACCATAAATGGCAAGCTTCCCGAGGCAAGTATTGTGTCTTTAGGCCTACTGTGGATTGAACTGTATCCCCCACCAAAAAAAGATACATTCACCCCTTTAACCTGTGTTAGTGACCTTTTTTGGAAATAGGGTCTTTGCAAATGTAATCAAGTTAAGAGAAGGTCACACCAGATTAGGGTGGGCCCTTAACCCAATGACTGGTGTCCTTAGCAGAAGAAGAGAGAAATTTGAACAAAAAGATACACTGGGAGAGAGTCGTGTGTGAAGATGGTGGCACAGATTGGAGTGATATGTCTTTAAGCCTTAACGTCCCACTAAGAGTTGCTGGCAACCAGTGGAAGCTAGGAAGAAGCACGCAAAGAACCTTCCCCATAGCCTTCAGAGGGAGCACAGCCTCACATACACTTTGCCTTTGGACTTCTAGCCCCCAGAACTGAGAAAATAAATTTCTATTTTTTGAAACCACCCAAGTGTTTTGTTATGGTCGTCCTGGGAAACCAATACAGGCTTTTGCATTTCCCAGGGCAGAAAATGTGGGTTTCAGTCAGTAACCCACTGAGATGTAAAGTCACCAAGATGACCAGGAACACATGAGTGACACACAGCTGACTGGTGTGATGATGCAGGACCAAGGATGAAGATGTTTAAAAAGGAAGGTGAAACTGCACAGACTTTTCTGGTCAGCTATAACACTCTTAACCACTTAATTGATCTTAATACACTTTTTATCAAGAAAACAAATACCAGATTTGAAACAAGAAAAAGCAGAGAAGAAGGAAGATTCTCAGTGATAAATCAATGCTCGCTGCACAGGAGGACATGTTAGCCAGTTTATCTTTTTGTTGTTGAGATTAGAAGAGAACTGTAAGACTCCTTTATCAGGTGACCTTACAGCTGGGTTTACTCAGTATGTCTCATTTAACTTTAAAAGGTCTTGGTGCACATCCTAGTACAGATGATTCACCCTAGTGCAGACGATCATTTATATAGTCAACCGAGGAAGATAACCTGGAACTTCCTACCTCCCTGACTTTGATTCCTGCCAATTCCCTTCAGTCTCATTATCCCAGTTCCACATATCTTTCAATCTCATTCCCCCTGGAGGTCTTTCCTTGATACCCCAAAGGTTCCTCTTGGGCTTCTAAACATGACAATCACACAGAGCATAAGTCAACCATACCCTGGAATTTACTTTTTTTGTGTGCACATCACTTTTTGCCACTCAAAATGTACCTGAAAAAAGAAATCTACGCCCACAGTGTTACAGCGCATGCATTCAGCACTCAAGGTGCAGAACAAATATTTTCTGGCATAAACCCTGAATAGAAGAAATACCACTAAAAAAAAACCCACTTCTGCCAGTAAGAGCTGGTTCCTCTGATGGAAAAGTTTCGTGCAAGAACTGCACTTCTCTTTGGTCACTGTGTTCTGGAATGACTTTTTCTGCACCAGGAGTCACAGAGCTGTGAGTCAACAGAGGCATGTCAGAGCTGCAGACTCTCCACTGTCAGCTCTGATTCCACACAAACCTTTTTTTCCTCTGGTTGAAGCAGCCAAATTATAGCTCAAGAAAAAAACATAATTACATTCCAAAAGACCAGAAATAGCTGTTGAAAATACTCTACGAACAAAACAATAACAGGAAATAAATGAGGATTACCCATGATGCATGTAGGCTTTCCGTGCGGGTCAGTGGTAAAGAATCTGCCTGCCAATGCAGGAGATGTGGGTTTGATCCCTGGGTCAGGAAGATCCCCTGGAGAAGGGAAGGACAACTGACTCCAGTATCCTTGTCTAGGAAATCCCATGGGCACAGGAGCCTGGCAGACAATAGCTCATGGAGTTGCAAAAGAGTCAGATATAACTTAGTGACTAAACAACAACAACCCATGATGCGTAGCTAAATCCAAAATATTCCAGGGACTATTATAAAGTGATTTAACATTTTTTGGTCTTCTGATCTTCACTTTAAAAATGTTAGTTAAATGTCAGGCTGTTTAATTGACAGGTGCAGTTAAATCTATTCAATTTCCATATGTATTTACTAATAATGTTGGTTCCTTCCAGTACAGACGCACACCCACACTCCCACACCCACAGTCACACAGATAGCCCTCTCTCTTCCTCTGGTTGGCTCCCCAATACAAGAGCAGAATGAATTCATCAATGCATGTGTGTGTACACAGGGACTTCAGGGAAATTCTTGTTGCCCAGTTGCACTTTGGGTAAGGCCTCAAGTTGTAACTATGCCTCAATTCACTGGAGGCTAGAGTTCCAAGAGTTTCACGTACCCAGAGCACAAAGGAAAAGCAGGAGGTGGCAGTTCTGGGCAGTGAGATCACCTATATCTCTGGTGTAGTGGATGGGTAACATGTAGATTTCTGAGTTGGGATCTTTCAATTGGCTAACCTTGAAAAGCTTCATTTCTTTCTGGTTTTCTTTGGCCAGCAAACTAGAGGCAATGAATTTACAGGGAGAGAGATGTGGTGGTTAGAGTTCACAGCCATCAAGGGGAAGAGAAGCAAGCAGCAGTTGACTAGAATACCAGTTAGCCTGGGGCCATTCACTGAGGGAGTTTGCAGTGTGACAGAACTCCAGGGGTCTTTAGGAACATCACATGTTACAGAAAAACACATCATTCA